CTTTGGGCGAGGATACAGAAGCTTATTCTAAGAGTGACAGAGGGGGTCTGCACACTCAGGGGTTGACAGTAGGGTCTCCACTGGGCTAGAAAGTGAGTAGGTTTTAGCTGCCCTTGGCCCTCCATGCACACACACAAATGAGTAACCATGTGAGATAAGATATGCTAATTTGCTTCACTACAGTAACTTTTTTACTACCCTATGTATCCCATAACATCACATTATATGCCTAAAATACACAAAATAAAAATTTTAAAGGTATCTAATAGCATTATTTCAGAGCTGGACTAATTGTAGGTATTATAATATAAGGGTGTGGCCAGAGAGAAGGCAGATGAACTATAAAAATGGTGAAAGTGATTAGAGATAAACAGGGCAAGAAATTGATAGTTTTGGAGACTCGGACAGATCAGTCATGTGAATGGTTAAGCCCTCTAAGATGAGGATGTGCTTTGAAAGGACAGTAAGTTGAGGGGCTAAAGATTTTAATGAATGAGAGTGAACAGTAATGAAGTTAGAAAATGACAGGAATGGGGTAGGGATGCAGCTCAGCAGTAAAGCACTTGCCTGGCATGCACAAGACCCTAGGATCAATCCCCAGCACAGCATAAAAATAATAAAAAAGAAAATTACAGGGAAGAAAAAGGTAGCAGTGAACATTCAGTGCTTCCTGCTTGTCCTACGTGCACTCCTCCTCTTTCTGGTTACGGGAAGACCATGATTTTACTTTGGGTTTTTGTTGTTGTTGCTGTTTGGTGCTGGGGAGTCAAACCCAGGATCTCAGGCATGCTCAGCAAGTACTCCAGGGCTGAGCTAGGCCCCCACCTTGATTTTACTGTGAAAATCATCTCTTTCCTTCCTAAGCACAGAGGGGCTTCCAAAGTATTTGTAATAGTCTACGTTTTATTATGGACATTCATTTTATTATTCTTTAAACTGTACGGACATATTTTATTCTTTAAAATCTCCAGACATTTTTAAATGCTTCACTTGTATACTTCACTATTGTAGAAAAAATAAAAATCCCTCTCCTCATTACAAAGCTAAAGCGCTCAGATCAGGTCTGAGCAATTAGAGTCACAAAGACAGGTTTAGGTACCTGACCCAATTTAAGCCAACAAGACACCAGCCCAGAGCTTTCACTGGAACTATCAGGAAAGAGGAGCTCTCTGCTGGAGCCGTGAAGCTTGTCTGTGGAACATATCCCTCCACTAGCTTGAGGAGGCAAAAAAAAAAAGCTAGTACAGAAGAAAGCAGAGCCAAGAGATGGCAAGTGACAGATTCCAACATCATCTGGATACCTTGTTCCAGCCATTCCTGAAGCCAAAGTCCCTGGGCCTCTTCAACAGGAACCAGTAGACTTTTCCCAGCTCTGGTTCATCAGTATGCTTTGGTTTCTGACCTTTAAAGGAGTCCTAATTCTGCAGCACAAACAAGGTATTCCCAATTCCACAGCCTGTTTGCTCCTTTGACCATGAGAGTCCAACCAGGCTCCAGACCCTGGAAAGCCCCCTTTCTGTGTCACTCAAAGTCAAGGCCAAAATCCTCAGGGAAGCGCTGCCAAAGGCAAATGCAATTTGATTCCTCTGTGCCCCTTAGTTTGTGAGTTTCCAAGGCTCACTCTGCCCCAGGCATGCTGGCCTCCAGGTCTCCCTGACTCACCAGGCCTGTGATCTCAGGCCTCTGCTTCCAGCTGCCCTCCACCTGACACTTCTCCAAACATCCACCTGCTGACTCTCTCATTTCTGTCAAGTCTCAGTAAGGCCTACCCAAATTCCCCTCCCCACGGCCAGTGATCCTGAAGACCCACCCCCTCCCTGTTCAACTTTTTCTTTTTTCTAAGGCATTTACTGCATAATATAGTACAAAGTCACCAAAATGTACCCCCCTGAGGGCAGGTTTAGGGTGACCTGGGCTGGTTTATTCATCTCAAGTTCTTAGAACAGGGCCTAGCTCAGAGGAAGTCCTATTTTTTTTTTAATGAATAAAAAAATGATATGATCCTCAAAAGACCAGACCTTGGTTTTAAAAAGGCAATGGAGAATGGAGGGAAAGGACCCTGAAGCCCACCTCCTGGCTCTGATTTAAATGAAGTATAGAATGAAAAGACACCTCCATTTCTAAGACTTCAGGAAAATCTAGGTGACCTAAGGGGGCAGGAAGGAGGAGGACAAGTTCAGTAAACAGGGTGGGGATATGGGAAGAGGTGTTAGTCACAGAACAGGGCTTAAGAGGGTTTAGGTATTCCCTTCTGGAAGGCATACAGAAATCAGAGGCTGAGTCAGAGGAGAAACATGATGAAATCCATGGATGAAAGTAAAAAGAGGACAAATACATCAAGTGAATTATTTACAATTTTAGTTAGAGAGGAGAGATGTAATGATATAAGGCCTGTGGGTTTAGTTGGCATCAGAAGAATTAACCCTAGCAACCCTAGGGAAATATAAAGAATTCCCCCATCACCCCATGGTTTGAATGATTTGAGAACTTTATGGATGGAGCATCCACCATATTTGGTCTCTGCCCTACTTGAGCACTAAGAGGCCATTCAGAGTGTCAGCTGGACCAAGAGGCCAGGTTATCTTATTTCACAGCACCACCCTGTGCCACACAACCAAGTCTCCTCTGCATAATAACTATACACTGAGGGCAGCCTGTCAAACCTTCACTCTTCAACCCCAATTCCTTGTCATCACAACCCTAAAATCCAAAGAGGAAAGAAAACAGACTTCAAAGACCACAGCACTTGACTTACCCACCTGCCCTCCAATGACCCCCAGGCTGCCTAAGCAAGAGAAAGCAGGGCAAAGAGTAGGCTTCCTGTTCTGACTCACCTCTGCCACTTGCTAGCTTCTCTCTATAGAAATTCACAAGAACACCTGGAGGAAAATGTTACTCCCAGTTAGAAAAGGAAATTACAATGCTAAGCCTCTAAGGAAAAGTGGCTTACTATAAATCAGGCCCTTGAGACTGGTGTTATTTAGATCCTCCCCATAGCTGTCCAATAATTAATAACAGTGCCTTCAAGATTGTCTCTCTCAAAGAACTGATCCTGGGAAGGAAGCCATCAGTAATCAGACTTGTGCCTCACTCCTCACCCACCCAGATCTTGGTGGTACAGGGCATACGCCCTCCAAGAACTTATTAATGAAACAATCACGCTGCTAAGTCAGGTGTCACCCACAGGCAAATCATTAAGCACATATTTTAAACAGCCTCCAAGATGGCCCCAGTGATCTCTACCTCCTGGTATTCACTCCCTGGTATTCATACCCTCTCCCCTCATTGTACCAGTGTTGGTCTACGTGACCCACAGAACACAGTAGAGGCTAGTTATATAAGATTGGCTCATTGACTCTGGGAGAAACCAGCTGCCATGTCAAATTGCCCCACGCAGAGTAACTAAAGCCTGCCAACAGCTACATGAGTGAACTTGGAAGCGGATTCTCCCTCAATCCAGCCTTCAAATCACTGCAGCCTCCTGAAAGACCTAGGTGAGAACCACCCAGAGAAGCTACTCCCAGATTTCTGACCCACAGACATTATTTCCAGGTACTATATTTTGGGGACTTGTTACAAGCAATAGATAATTGATTCACTATCCTACACAGAACTGAGAAGGAAATCAGAAGGTTTAACCTCAATTCCTATCCTATAGAGGTCCATTTAAGATCAATTTCTCTGTCCATAAGAAACAACACAGTATTCATTTAGCCATTCAACAATTAGTTTTTGAATGTCAAACACGTGCAAGATATTTCCAAGCTACGAAAGTGCTCATATACTCTATATATCTTCTATAAAATGAAGAAAAGAAAAAAAAAAAAACACCAAGCCTAAGTTTTCTTCTTCCTAATGCTTTACAAACCTCTAGGAGATACATCAGTCCCACTCCCTAACTAATTTGAGTGCTCAGGATCGTTCTAGCTGTAAACCCATCAAATTATATTTTCTCATACTTATTTTTATTGTACCACATACCCTCCATCTAAGGGGAGAAGAATATTATGTCTCCTGATTTCGTTAATATTGAGACAAGGAAGAATTCATTTAGTATTTTAACTAGGAGGAGAAAATCCTCCTAGTGCTTGTCCCTCCTCACAAGTGCTGAAATTCAAATTTCAGCAATTAATGACCAAGAGGCAACAGGAGTACTGACAGAATCACTGCTCACGTCCTGCTCACGGCTGAAATGGCTTTGGGGACTGGGGAGACGTCTCCTCCCTTCCCCGCAAAAGACTTTGCAGTCTCTCACAGCAGCAGGAGGGTTGTGTCACTCTAAGAAAATCAGAAGCCTCTCTCTGCACAAAGAAGGTCAAAGGGCGAGCTTTCTCTCCATCAACCACAAAACCAGCCTGTGCCAAACCTAAACAGTGTGTAGGCCGTCGGAGGTGAATGAAGCCCCAGACAGAAAACCACAGCGAGACTCGTCCTCCCGCCGCGGCCAGGGTCGGAGTCAGGTGACTCCTCAGGGCAAACAGCAAACCTAAACAAAGATCACACCCCACATGACTAGTGGGGAAGAAGACAGTTCTCGCCGCAAGCCCGAGGCTGCCCAGTCCTACCCCGAAAGCCATTAACTCCGGCTTTTTTTTTTTTTTTTTTTTTTTTTTTGCAGTCCCAGGAAACTGGAGGCGCTACAAGTTATTCAGCACCTCAGCCCCCAGGGATGCACCTGGAGGAACTTGGGACCCCATCCCAGGACACAGGCGCTGAGCACTGCACGCAGCCTCCCGCCCCAACACGCAAGCAGGACCCCTCCCCACCAGCTGTCACCGAGCTCAACCAGTCAGAGCCAGAGAAGCTCCTCTCCTGGCCGCTCTCCCCTGCAGCTGCGACCCCACGGGGGCGGCAGAGGGTTCTGGGGGCTAGGGCACGCCCGTACCCCGGGAAGGGGCGCCAGGGTGGGCGCGGTCCCTGCACAGCACGGCTCCAGAATTATCCTCCCCCACCCCGTGAGGTGGAAAGAGACTCCCAGTCCCCAGTACCACGCGTCTTACCTTGTCACCGAAGCTGCGGGCCATCAGCAGGTCCGGGCTGGGCGTGCTGTCGCCGCCCACGGCCTCCTCGCTGCTGGAGCCGGCCAGCGGGTGCGGCATGTCGCGCAGGGAGTAGGGCCCCGTGGACTGCAGGGCCTTGGGGGGGCCGCCCGCCATGGCGCGCACCGCTCCGGTCGCGCCGCCGCCGCCGCTTCCTCTCGCTGCCCGCTGCCCGCTGCGGTGGTCTCCCGAGCGCCCCCCGGGCCGAGACCCCGTTCGGGCCAAGTCCCTGCACTGGCCTGGTAGGAGCCGCGGCTCGCAGACTCCTCGTCCTGCCTGCTGGGCTTCTCCGCGCCGCGCCCCAGCTCCGCGCCCAAGCCCGCCGCCGGTCCGCCAGCACCTCGGCCCCGGCGCCCAGCCCGCACCGCCACGCCGCCCACCCGCTCGCAGCCCCGCCCCCGCGGCGCCTCGGCCGCCCCCAGGGGCGGGAAGAGCGAGAGCGGGGGAGGCGGGGAGGGACGAGTGCGGAGGGAGGCGGGCAGCTCCGCCCTCGCCCGCGCGCGGCAGGAAGTGAGCCTTCAGCCCTCTGCCCTGTCCTCAGAGTGTCCGGCCTCGCCAACGGGAGGCAGGCCTTGCGGAGGCTGCACGCAGCTTCAGAGCAATGTTTAACGGAAAGCCAAGGTGGAAGAAGACGTTGGAGGATCCTGTTCCATTCCACCCGTATTTACTGATGTGCCCACCGGCAGCCTCTCTGTGGGTTAAGGGCTTTGGAGACACTCAAGTGAATCAGGGTCTTTTGGCCCCTAAGGCCCACGCAGAAATAACCCAAAATAGAAAGAATTACAGTGCGTATCATAGGAGTAACAAAGATTTATGAGGCTTAGAGGAGCTAGAGAACATGGGGTCGGGAATCTAGAACAGAGTTCAGGAGGAGTGTGGGGGTTTCTTCCAAGTCACCCTGAGATAGATTCTCATGCCATCTCGCTTCTGAGCTATGCCAGTTTTATGTAAAGTGAAATCTCAGGAGATTGAGCATCCTTCAATAAAGAAAAAAGTGTGTGCTACAAATGATTTATGGCTCTGAAACTCACACTTTGGGCCAAATGATCTTTTGCAAAAACTATGAGGTTCAAGATATTTTTCATACATTCATGTTTCCTTGCCTTTGGCTGAGCTACATTCTTAACTTTTTTGCTGGCAAGGTAAAGATAGTCAAGACGTTATTTCCAGCTCTTTGGGGTGTGAATTCACACCTTTTTTTTCACCTTACCTGTCTCTGGAGCTTCAGTTTGTAAGGCCAGTCATTACAGACCCATTCATCCCCCCAGCAAAGTCATGAGTAGGGTTGTTTAGTGGAAGGTATTTTTCCCCATCCATTCCTACACTCTTGGGTTTGCCTGTGAAAAAGTGGTGACAGATCTCAAGTGGGATTCACTAAAGTCTTTACCGTACTGTTTCCTCTAGAAACAAGTAGAGGAAAAAAAGCAGTGTTCAAATGGACCAAAATATCAGTCAGCGACTCACTGAGCTTCCAAGACCTTCCCTTATGTCTTTGGAAGCCATAGGGTTGGACCCATACTATGTCCCCTAGCTGTCATCTTTATTTCTCCTGTAAGGATCTCCCTTGGTTAGGGAACATGGATTCAGAGGGCACTGGCAACAATTTTAAATGCTGCATTCCTCAGAGGAATGCCAATGTCTTGTTCTCTTGGAGTTGGGTAAAACTTAATACTTTCAAGTTCAAGAGCTACTTACAGACCCTAGTATCTGTTCTTCTGAATCATCATTAAGATAAATAGCATACATATAACTAGAAATGAGTGCTCTATAGTTATACAACAGATTTTTCTTGTCAAATGGTGCTATTTATTTTAACAACCAGGCCACCTTAATATAATAGAGATCTTACCACAGAACTTTGAGTGAAAAGAGATCCACACTTGAATTTCTGCTTAATCACTACAAGTTAATCTCAACAAACCTGTTTCCTAACCTATAAAGGGAGAAGATGGAGAGCAGGTCATCATACTGACAAAGGTAGGTATGAGAGTTAAATAGGGTTCACTGTGTCATGGTCTTAGGAGGAGGCTGGCCTGGAATAGATGCTCCCTAAATGTTAACCCATTAAGTCCTCAGTTTTCAATTCTTCAAATATTTCAGTGAAATTGACATACATGCATTAACATAGGTTGGAAATTTAATCTAGAGCTTATATATTAGCATATTAGCAGTAGTAATATTATATATAATTTTATTATGTATTATATGATTATACTGCATATAATATTTAAATATCACAGGTGTTCCACATCTGGGACTCTGGGGAGGGGAGGCAGGCAGCTCCACTCTTACTTGCCCTCCAGAGCTGCAGAAAGTGCACTCTCAGCTCCTCTGCCCTGTCCCCTGAGTGTCCTTTCCTTTCCCTTAAGTTTTCAGTAGTCTTATGAAATAACAGTTATAGAGTTTTTGTAATTAAATATGCTGTACTCCAAACTCTGTATGATCAGTTTGGGTCAGAATGTGGCTTTTCTATGCCCCCACTCAAAAACAAAACCAAAAAACAAACAAAAAAACAGTTTCTAAAAGGCCATATGAAACAGTTTCTCGGTTTCTTTATTTATTTTCCAATTTCCTGGTTGGTCAGTGGCATCTAGCCACAATGATCTAGTGGGTAGTCATCAAAACTAAAGAAAGTGAATTTCTATGGAAAATATTTTGGTAGAAAGTTTCCACCATTCAAATTTAGCCCAGGCCTGTCTTTTCACATTCTCCATTTCCTGTTGCATGTAAGTGTTTTTTCGTGGTGGGAAATTGTCACTAAAATAACAAAAGTGTCCCAGAGCATATTATTCAACTTCCATTAAAAGTTTTTAAAACAACATGGTGGAGAAGAGGAAGCATGTGAAGTTTCTGTATCAGAGCAAAAGGCTGTGGTGTTGGGTGGAATTTAGGAACAGGAGTTTGGATTTCTAGGGCTGAGCTCTGATGAAGATGTTGGAGGATGAGGAGGTCCCCAATGCCACCAGTACCCACAAACATTGTATCGGGCCTTCCCATCCACATGGAATAGTAGACATATAAGCTGATCCCTTTAGGGGTCCAAATTGGAACCCTATAAACCTCATCAGCAAGCCTATCAGCTCTGTGCATGAATACCCAGACCTCAGAAACAAAGCAGTCCCAAGGGAGCATACTGTCATTCTCTACCCTGGTACAGCATGTGCTTGGGCCTTCTTCATGTTTGTGTTAGCTGCTTATCCTCTCCTGGTTTTCAATACAATCATAGCTTTATTCTATATGACATCTCAAACCCTGCCTCAAAATAACACCACCACTTCTGAAGTGGATGGCTGATGAGAACAAAGGAGGTTTTCAGAGAGCATTTAGAGTGACATGTAGTAGACCACAGAGGGCTGTCTCAACAAGGGGTCAACTGAGAAGGCGCAATCCCCAACAAAGACAAAACTGTGAGCAATTTAATTCAACCAGTGGTGTCCCAGGAAAGAAGCAAGGTCCACTTGAGGCCAAGATCTAAAAAATTTTTGCAAACAAGAATTGGAACTTGTCCCAGAACCAGCAGAGCAGTTTTTGGGTAAATGTTAGGATCATTTTATCTGTTTCAAAAGGCTCTTGTCTCCCCGAAAGCATGGGGACCCTCATGCAGGAGGGATGAACATAGTTTCAAACTTTGTAGTGCCTGACAACCACCTGATCTTGTTAAATACAGATTTCCAGACCTCACCCAAGGGATTCTGCTTTTGGAATGGGGCCTGAAATATTTAAAAATTTTTAATTTAATCATTTTAAAATTTTTTTTATTAATGCATTATAATTATACATATTAGTGGGATTCAGTGTTAGTTGTGGGTGTATGTGTCAGTATATGTGTGAGTGTGTGTGTGTGTGTGTGTGTTACTAGAGATTGAACCCAGGGGCACTCTGCCACTGAGCTACATCCCCAACCCTTTTAATTTTTTTTATTTTGACGGGGTCTCCATAAATTGCCCAGGCGGGCCTTGGACTTGCAATCCTCCTGCTTCAGCCCCCTGAGTCACTGAGGTTACAGGCATAGACCACCATACCCAGCCACAATAATTAATTTAAAAATAAGATTAATTTTTAACAACCTCTTACATTATGCTTATGCAATGCCAGTCTGTGGACTGTACTTTGAGGAGCACAGTTCTCATAGTTCCATCCAAACCTCATTTTTTAAATAGCATTTGTAAAGTGCTTACTTTGAAGAAATTTCCTATTTTCTGAAAACTTGCTGAAAGGGCAAATTTTCTATTTCAAAATTGTATGACAGGATCTTTTTGCCCCTAAACTGTTATGGTTATTTATGTTGAACATCTACCAGGTACTTAACATTTAGGAGAAGCACTCAGATGAACTAGATTGACTGTTGACAGATTCATTTCAGAGCTCTGGCTGTGAAGTGGATCACGGTGAAGTGCATATTTCCCAGAGCTCCCTGAGCTGCTCTGGCCTACCCTACAGGCTCCTGGGAGTTGGACCTTACCTGGCCATACAAATGCAATTTATTGCCATCCTTGAAGGATACCTACTACCTAGCTTTCTGTGAAAGCAGGTCCTGTTATGTGGGTGTGGATACATGTTCCTTTGTCATGGTTACCCATCAGAGAGGTTGGGCTCAAGAAGATGTTGAACTGACCAGCCCAGCCCAAGACATTGATTGAGTTTTAACAGCAGTGAGTCTTTGGTTAGTTTGGAAAACCTACTTAGTGGATATGTGTTCCCACGATGGTACTTATTCTTCATCAGGAAAGATCCCCAAAGGGCATGTAGAAAACGAACTTTTCTACCTCCCCAGAACACAACAGAAATCCATAAGTATATTCACCAAAAGATGGATCCAAGAATCTCCACTGCTGTGCTATTTATAATAGCAAAAACTAGATGCAACTCATATGATTTAAGAGTGGAATGCAGGAATAACTGTATATTCATACAACAGAGCATTCAGCAATGAGACTGAAGGAACACATGGAGAATGAATCTCACAAACAATGATGAATGAAAGAAGCCTGCTATCAGCCAGCTGCGGTGGTGCATACCTATAATCCCAGCAGCTCAGGAGGCTGAGGCAAGAGGGTCACAAGTTCAAGGCCAGTCTCAGCAACTTAACAAGAGTGCTTCAAAATAAAAAATAAAAAGGAATAGAGATATAGCTCAGTGGTGATGCACCCAAGGGTTCAATCCCCA